CAAAGACAAATTTGTCAAGACAAGAGACAGGGGAGAATGGTATCAAAGTGACCTTGGAGCAAGGTGACAATTTCTTATTAACCAATACAGGTGACTAGTTGTATGGTATGGAAGGAGAATACACGTAGAGAAATATCAGGAATATTAGGGGAAATCACACTGCCTATTGCTAGGGGTAACTTTTTTATATTCTCTCTCTTATGAGCTCACATGACTTTAAGAACTTCGGCACCTGTTCCTGAGGAGGAAGGGATCTAAACATACCAGTCATCTTTTAACAAAACCTGCAGTTGGATCAGTAGTTCTCAATCTCAGTTACACATGAGAACCAACTGAGATATTTTTAAATTTTCATGCTAAGACTACTTCTCAGGCCAATTAAATCATAATCTGTTTTGAGATACAGTCATACATATATATACTTTTTTTTTTTAGCTGAACCATCCTGACACTTGTTGGCAGCTCAACGGCTGCTCAGCTCATGCCAGGAATCGAACCGCTGTTGCTCAGAGCTCAAATTCTTGAGCGAGCTCTTAACCAACTGAGCCACTCGGCCAGCCCCAGTCATCAATATTTTTAAAGCCCCCCACGTGAGTCCACATGAAGCCAAAGTTGAGAACCAGTTACATACATCCTTACACATAACACACATAAACAAATGTAAAAGACATCAAAATTGTGTGGACAACAGCCATAATTTTGGTAAGGTTTGAGAATTGTAATTATTTAGTAAAAAAGAGTTGTTCATTTCTCCAGGATGTCTGGGATGGGTGAAAAATAAGGAAGGCGCTATAGCTATAATATGATTCAATCATGCAGTTATTATAATTAGAGGGGATCCCACAATGCTCACTCCATTTCATTAAAGATGTATCAAACGAAGCAATATTCAGATATGAAACATTGAAGGGATGAAAGGCACAAGATCTAAAAAAATTATAGAACCAAACAGGCAAGATTTCAAGTTCTGAGTATTTGGTTTTACTGGCTTTTCCAACACTCATACCAAAAATAGATGGCACGGGTATTGAGATTAGGCTATTTTTCTGAAGAGCCTCTTCATGGCCCTCTTGATGTCCCTGTTCCTTAAGCTATAGATAAAGGGGTTCATCATGGGAGTGACTGCTGTGTATATCACCGAGACCACTGCATCCTTCCTAGGAGAGTGCGAGACAGCTGAACTGAGGTACACCCCAAGGCCTGTTCCATAAAATAAGCAAACAATTGACAGGTGAGAGCCACAGGTGGAGAAGGCTTTATACTTCCCACCTGATGATGGGACTCTCAGAATGGAGGAAATTATTTTATAGTAAGAAAAAAGGATCCCTGAGACTGGAATGCCACCAAAGATGGCCGCAAATAAATACATTAATATGTTATTGGTGGGGATTTCAAAACAGGCAAGGTTGAGTAGCTGAGAAGGGTCACAGAAGAAATGAGGTATTTCCATATCTATGAAGAAGGTAAGCTGTGACACCATCAAATTATGCAGCTGGGAGTCCAAAAGGCTGATGAAAAATGACACCAAAATCATCAGGCCACAGAGTCGTGGGTTCATGATGACCAGGTAGTGCAGGGG